AAGAACAGCAGTCTTAGCTATCACAACAATGAAGTAAGAAAAGACCACAGATTATTAGAGTGTACCAATTACATCTGGCCTTTTGCTCTCACTTTCCTTTTCGTCCACATACAACGCTCACGTTCTACACACTGACACTCTTTTCTACACGAGCTGACAATCAACCAAGTCTATTCTGATCCTTATGGAAATGTAGATAGTTCTCTGTGGAGGTACCGCAATTTTACTTGGTTTTGTTGCTTATTCTTTTCGCCCTTCAATTTCACATGATGGGTCTCATTATCTTTTTATGATTCTTTGATTTCCGTTTCCCCAGTAAGCTTCATATATTAGGGGAAAGAGTTCTTCTTCTTCTTTTTTTTTTTTTTCTTAAATGTGACATTAAATTCTGCAATGATTTACCCAAACCTTCTTTTTCTTTATATTGGGTTGTTTTCTTGATTTTTATTCTTCCGTAAAGCCCCATGCATTACTCTGTTACTTTGATTTTTAAATTTAGGAGTCAAGCTTTACTTGTTTTGTTATTTATTTATTGGCATTTGCTGACGCGATTTGTTCCTTCGTGTTAATATATTTTGTACATCTAGTAACAATTTTATGAATTCGGACGATCATTAATACTCGGTTCTTTTCATTTGCGAGCGGTTCTCTTTATCGGATTCGTACGATATGGCCAACATTAGGTGTTGAAGCCCAATAAATAGGCCTAAGATTTCAATTCAATAACCTGACCCATTTTTCTAACCCAATTTCACGAGATTAACACCTCTCTTTCCAATTCATTTAATGAATCCGTATAAGATTACATTCTTGACCAGCCAATTAACATGGTAATGTGAAAACTCTTGCAAGAGTTTGTGAATGCTCTTTCATGCTACGTTGCTATCGTATCATCATTTTGGATACATAATATTAAGTTATTAACACTTAAAAAACAGGTGCAACTATCAAATCTTTTATATGCCGAAACAGTCGTTCTCGTATTTCCATCATGGTCCCTACTCTGAATCTGTGTAATTACTAATTATATGCGACTATTGGTAAATTCTATTTCTTTTTATTTATTTCGTACACTTGTTTATGGCATTTTTCTGATCGGTGCCAGAATTTTCAATAATGGACTCGGAAGCAAAAGACCCCTCAAAAGCTATGGACTGGAAAAGTATGGCAGAGCCTATAGGCACAGTTTCGGGCAATGGAGCAGCTGTGAAAAAACGAGTCCCTAAAAAGGTTCGGCAAATTCCAGATTATTATTTCCTTCCACGAAGGTCTATGGCATCGGCAATTTTGTTCTATGGATCATGGATAGCTGCTGGGATTGGAGCCGGCATGCTCACAGAGATTTGGCTTAACAAAAAGGCCAAAGGTATGGCCTTGGTTGCTCTGTGTCCTTGAGCTGATTTTATTGGTTGCCTTTTAGATACCTTCAGTTACTATGAGCAACTTATTTTTTGTTTGCACTTTGGAGTGACATATAGCTAATGTAAATGTGGGGTTTCAGTTCCCTCTAAATCACTTTCTCAATTGTTGATTATAGTATTTGTGCTATCACAAGGAAATTTCTAATAGTTGTATTTGTATTCGAATCATTCAGTTTATTTATTTATTTATTGATGGTCATGCTTGCTGGGCTCAAATCTAACTATTCCATTGCTCTTACAGAGGACAGTATGATCGTGAACTCGGAAAGATAAGAAGTCGACAGTTGTGCGATAACTTCCATTTGAATCCTCGAACTGGTGGGCCGAGTTATGTCACTGTGCCTTTTGTGGTTTTCTTTGCATAAGCTTGGCACTCAGTTTTCTTTATGCACCTAAAGCTACGTGTTTTTTTTTTTTTTTTTTTTT